TCTGGATATTCGCTAGGGAGATATCTCGCATGTAAAAAGATTTGCGCAAGGTAGATATACAAGGTAGCCGCATCGGTGAATTTCTTCAACAAACATCGGTTGTTGTACAAACAGATTGACAAGATTTTTTTACACAAATTCTTGTAGAAAATGTTAATAAAAGTATTGCCAAACAAGCTCTTCGAAATTCTGAGATTTTCATTTATAATTTTGTTTTTTAATTTTTTGGTTCAACATTACAACAACATTTTTGACATTTATTTGCACCAACAGCTGGGCCGATGCGGCTACCTTATTAAATATACCTTGGATTGGAGTTTTCGAAAATTGTGGTTGAAAAAAAATTTGTGTTGCCATATTGTAATTTAAGTTGCAACGCGTGTTGCCCCATTATAATTTAATTGTGTAATATTTTCAATACTTTATTTATTGATTTTTTTATTAAAAACTGCTATATTTATTGTTATTGAAACTTTATAACAATACAAATGTAAATTAAATTAAAATGAAATTGATTAAAAGAAAATAAATTAAAGTTTGAAAATATAGCAACAAACATATAATATGGCATGTGAAACAGCTGTTCATTGTTTTGATGCAATTTGGTGCAATAACTACAATAGATTACAAATAAAAGAACATTTTTATGATAGCAAAAACCCGCATTGAACGATGTCGGACACAACGAATAATAGGAAGAAATTTGCGATTAAATTAATTAATTCACAGATTATTATTTCACTACATAATTGTGTACCTTTTTTTAATTTCTATATTATATCTCTCCAATTTCTTAAAGTGGCAAATTATTTTTATGATATGCCTCTTCTCCTTCATTTTGACCTTCCATAATTTTAAATATTTTTATTTATTTATTTATTTTTTTTTTTTTGTTGGGACATATATTTACCGAAAATGTTTTTATTTCGCCTTCAAAATGCATCAAACTCGGATTAAATATTCCTTATTACATTTATACATTATCAATAGGATTTCCAATGGCATTTTATTTGTTCTTTTCGAGTTAATATTCTAAATCGCCATAGAATAACTATTGTGTAGATATTTTTCATAAAAAATTTTATTACTTATGTTTTTGTAGTCAGTTTATTAGCGAAATTTTTCGCACAAAATGTCATCCTACTCCAAGATACTCCCGGCAACTATGATCTTAGCATAACAGCTCCTAATTTACAAAATGGTTGAAATTTGCCTTCATTTCTTATTTTTATTTTCATAAATATAAATAAATTTGACAAGAAACAATTTATTTTTAACAGCATTGCCATATTGAAATTCCCTAATTCAGTATAAATTCAGTTTGATTTTGTGCATTAACAACACATAAAAATGAGGATAATGTTCAAGTTACTTTGAATTAAGGCTGTTAATGCAAATTAAGGCTGTCGTCTGTCTAGGCTATTAGTCTTCTCTTGCTATTAACATTTTAATCTCGAAATACGAACCAGAACAGGATAAAAACTCAAAATATCTTTCAGGAAACCCTAATGATAGTAATGTGCATATATATTTTGGTTCGAATAAAAATATTTATTGTTTTTTTATTCTTCAAACCCTTCAAACAATAAATTTGACAGTCAATGAAGACTTGGAGGCTTAAGTCTTGTTTAGGGGCTCCACCTGGATCGCTTTGAAATTTTTACCGTAAGTAGTCCCCGTAGTGCTGATTACAGTGATATATATTTTATGTGGGGGAAATGCATACTTCCCGAGATATGGGCCTTGAAAGTTTGGAATATACCTTGGTTAAAACGGCCGTTTTACTAATGCCACCAAAGCAATATGGGTATCATTTTAAAGGGTTTGAATAGTGCTTAATTATAGTATATCAGTATAAATTATATAATATTAACTAAAATTGAAAGAAAAAAACATTTGGATTGCGTAGCCATGTATGCGCCTGTCCACAGGTGAAAGTTTTAAGCCCCGGCCGAAGGCCTGCTACTTAAAAAACCTTAAATTTGATTTGGAAATTGCTCTTAAAAAAGGATTTGGATTGCGTAGCCATGTATACCATGTATAAATTTATGGTATGTACGAAGTTTGATGTGTTCCGTTTTACATTTGTTTATCTATTTGACGTTTGAAAATTTAACAGATGTTCAATTGAAAGTGTTTTTTTTTCAATATGATGTATAACGGTTATTTCAATTCTGCATTATTGGAATATGGCAAAAAGTGCCGTTATTTATCGTAATGCGTTTAAATAAGTGTGAATAATAAGTACGTTTAAATAAAGTGAATTTGTTACTTCTTCAAAAAGGTAAAAAAAATTGAATTGGTAAAACTTTTTGATAACATTTCGATGGATGTTGTAGGCATCCGCAGGAGTGAAGACTGATACCTCCGGCTGGAATATGTCCGAAGGGACATACTTTGCAGTTGAGGCCGTACGATAATTGCGATGGATGGCTATGGAGGTAAGTTGTTTGTAGAGAAATTCAATTGATTAAATTTAAATAATTGTTTTTTTTAGATGCGAGAAACGTTTTCGGGCCCGCCGGAATGTCAAGTGCAATTTCAAGCGTTCCTTTCGAAAAGGAACGTTCTTGGAAAATTCGCACTTGTCCATATACCACATCCTCGTATTTTCCTTCATGTGGGTTGAGCGAGGTGGTCCGTTATCGGATATTATGAAGGAAACGGGGATGTGTAAACAAACTGCAGTGGACTGGAACAACTTCTGCCGTGAAGTTGTTGTTTTCAGTAGTTTCCAGACGTGCCTGCAGATTGGCGGCCCTGGAGTAATCGTCGAAATAGATGAGTCGAAGATTGGCCGTCGCAAGTATAACCGTGGACACACTGTGGAAGGGCAGTGGGAGTTTGGTGGTGTAGAAAGGGGCAGTAACAACTGTTTTATTGTTCCTGGGGAGGAAAGAGGCCGGGATACCCTTATCCCAATAATTAAAAAGTATATTCGGCCTGGATCAATAATAGTGTCCGATTGATGGATGGTGAGTGTTTGAAGATAATTGAAAAGTTATTATTAATATAATTTTTATTTTTTAGGCTTATGATAATTTGTCGGAGGAGGGCTATACGCATTTCCGGGTGAATCATAGTCTTAATTTTGTTGACCCCGAATCGGGGCAACATACTAATACCATTGAGGGGTTATGACGCCATCTCAAGAGATCACTTTCTGATTATAACCGTCAAAAAATATTTTTCAACGGTTATATTCAGAAAATTATCTTCTTGAGATGGTGCCAAGCAAATCAGAAAAATCATTTTCTTGAATTCCTTCGATTCGCTGGTCAGCTGTATGATCCAACAAAGTCAACAGATGACAGCGAATCGGAGGAATTAATGACTGAATCCCCAATAGAGTTGGAGGTAAGCTGTCCCGAGGATTATAGTGAAGAAGATGAAGAAGCTCCTCAGCCCAAAAGGCGTAGAAATTTTTAAATACTTTCAATTGGTTTTTAATTTTGTTTTTTTGTTTTATATGAATTGTTTTTATTTGGTTCCTTTTGTAATTTTAACTATATACAGTTGGCTAAAATGCTTATTAAACCTTAAAAGTTGAATATATTGTTGTTGTTACCCTAAAAAAATAAAAAATTATATTTTTTGGGAAGCATTCGTTGTAAGCTTTAAAATGATACCCATATTGCCTTTGTGGCATTAATAAAACGGCCGTTTTAATAAAGATATGCTCCGAACTTTCAAGGCCCATATCTCGGAAAGTATGCATTTCCCCCACATCAAATATATATCACTGTAATCAGCTCAACGAGGACTACTTATGGTAAAAATTTCAAATCGATCCGAGTGGAGCCCCTAAACTAGACTTGTTTCGATTTCCCCACTCCCTGTAATCCAGAATAATTTTTTTCCCCCAATACGGATATTTTCGCTTTCGAACTTCATTCAGAATAAGACGATAGCGAGAATGCGAAAAATTCACCCTGAAATGTTGTTGAGAATAAGTCGAAGGGGAAGAGCGAGTAAATTCACGCGGAATTGACGTCCAGAATAGGGCTGTGGGATCTTTTATGGGTACCAAAAATGTAATTATAAATATAGGTCCACTTTTCCCGGTAGCCCACTATGAGCCGGAGATCCCATTTTTTGGCCATAATTAGGACAGTTGGTTTATGAATGCAAGAAAAACGTAAAAATTGAATAGCTTGGGTCGAAAACTGCGATACATTTTTTAAAAGTTGAATTAATCAAATTATTTTTTATTTTATTTTTTTTTATCACCGCCAAAAGAACTATCTGCAGTAAACGTATCAAATATTTCGTAGTGGTATTATCAAAGATATTTAGTAAAATGTGAGGGTATTTTTGGAAATTTGGAGCCCCATACCTCGGGAAGTACAGATTATTTTAAAATTTGTTTATTATCAAATTTCAAGGTTTTACTTATCATCCCATACCGATCTTAATCCATTTATAATTTTAAAAATACTTCTGTACACTTTCCATGTTGTCCGTCATAGGCAAAGGCTAAAATGGGTTAATTTGCATTTTAGGGACTAAGCCACAGAAATAAACAACACAGATGGGCCCCGGAATGTCGCTTACGCCAATATAATATTGGGGGAAGTCATACTTCCGTTGGTTGAAACCCAATTAAAAGCCAAGTGTTTGCTATGACATTTGTATGACACTTTAGTACATAATTTTTAATGCAAATGCAATAATAATTGCAATTTTTGTGAGATTTAATAACGAGCCGTAGGGTTCTTCCAAACGCTATATCCCAGAAATTATGGACGTTTCAGACAAATCGGTACATTTTCCAAATTATCGGCATTTAACGATTAACAACTATCAGATTCCAGAAGAAAAATGTTTTATTTCAATTCTTGACTGGAATTTTAAATGTTAATGTTTGTTGTTCCATGTCATGAGACAACGTAAACAAAACCATTCCGGCTGTTGATCCATTTGACACTATTATTTTTTACGTATGTATATAAAATTCCTCCGTTCATCATTCTTCATTGAGTCGCATTACAAAAACACAATTATTTTTTCATATCTAAATGTCTATATTCAGATCCAAATTTAAAATTAGAAAAATTATTTGCAATAAACTGAAACGTTTATTCGTTTTCTTGAGAGCGAACACGACCGTTGGGATTTGTCAAACGGATGGACAATTGCTTGGCACGTTCAACAATTTCCTTGCGCTTCTTGGAGGAGACACCGTGAGCGATTTCGCCGCAGTATACACGGTTTTGCATCATCAAAACTTCGAGTTCCTTAACGTTGTGGACGAGGAACTTCTTGAAACCGGTTGGGAGCATATGGCGGGTACGTTTGTTGGAACCGTAACCAATGTTGGGCATCAAGTATTGACCCTTGAAGCGACGACGTACTCTGTTGTCAATACCTTTTGGTTTGCGCCATTTGTGCTAAAACAGAAAAGTAGAAAACAAACGGGTCAGTTTTACAAAAATTCTCTTGACAATTTTTCTCTTGATTGTTTACTTACCGACAATTTGGCATAACGATCCGATTGATGGCGGATGAAGTGCTTGGTGCGCTTCTTAACAATCTTGGGCCTGTATGCTGGACGAATGGTCATGTTTGAGCTGAAATTATACACAATATGTTAACATTTAGTGTCGACATAAAAATAATTGGTCTGGCCATTGATTGGTGCACAAAGTTTCGAATGTCAACAATAAAACATTTATTCCATTACGCCATGTTCCACAATCTATTTTCACAAAATCATCGAACCGCAGTTCAATTCAATTATTTTTTTCACATATTTTGTGCACCAGATATGGCTTCATTGATTGATGTAAATAATTTTTCACGATTTCATAAATAAATACACACCACTTTTTCTAAAAGAGCACGTCAAAAAGAAAGAAAACTGAAGTTAGCCGCAGTCCAGCTGCCGAATTTTTTTTGACAGCTGTCAAATTTCAGTGCTGACAATATTATGGATGTCAGTTGCCGGTTTGTGTATTTGCTAAAATTGTCCGTTAAACATCGAACGCCATATTGTAGAGTGTGAATCCAAAGTTCGATTTCCTTGTTAAAAATTTGTATTTGTTTATTAAGTAAATTACTTTGCCATTGTTTCCTTTGTATTTAATATAATTTCGTATACGAGAATAATTTCTATCTATATATATATATATTTTTTTTCTGTTCCTGATCTGAAGCTATATACTAATATTAACTATTTTTTTTCGATATTATAAAGTTACAATTATGGTGCAGTCATTCAAGATAGGCCATAGCAACTTATAAATAGCAACTAATAATTGTACCCATGGTATAATTATACAAGGTAGACTCATGCAGTCATATGTTTCCATTTTTTTTTTCATAAATTTGCTTTTGACAATAATCAGCTTACAAAATTTAAATGAAAAAAATTTCCTTCGAAATGCACGCATATCATGTGTTCAGTGGCAAAAAATTCTTAATAATTTATATTTATAAATATTTTGAAGTTCTCTGCCTCTAAAACTTATAAATATAAGATGTAACAACCAAGGTTAAATTTTGAGAGCAACGTTCAGTTTTGGAAAATATATTTTGTTTAATTTATTAAAAATATTATTTTATTTGAAATTGATATATCGCACATTTGCTGCATGAGAGGCATAACTCAAAAAAACGTGATTTTCGAGTTAATGATGCACGATTGTTCGAACTAATAGACCTCATGTTGTGGAAAAAATTCATATGAATATCTCTTACACACTCTAATTGAAAAGCTGTAGAATTCCCTCTGTCCCATATAAAGTGTGAGTAAATTGAAAACATAAAACGCATTTTCTGCATAATCGTGTTTTTGAGTCTGCCTGTCTTGCAGCAAATGAACGATATGAGTTCCAAATAAAAAGGGTTGAAATTGATAATTGCAAACCCTTTTTAATTATGCCCATGGCATAACTATACAAGGTAGTCTCATGCAGCAATCCAATTTTTTCATAAATTGGCTTTTGACAACATTCAGCTTTCAAAATTTAAACGAAAATATCTTCCTTCGAAATGTACGCAAATATTGTGTCCTTAGTTAAATCTTAAAAACAATAAAATAAAAAATAAAAAGTATTTTTTTTCAATTTGTTGAAAATAAGCCAACCGTCATGCATAAAATTTTATGAAATTTATTACTCATTTTATTTGAAATTGATATATGAATTCCATAATAAGAAGGGTTGACATTATCAATTTCTCAAATGAAACTATCTTGTATAGTTATGCCATGAATTAGGCCATGGTTTGAAATGATTATCAGAATGCAAAAAAAATGTTTAACGAAAGAAAACGATCATTGGATTTTTCTGCGCCCTTATAACAAAACAATTAAAAGTTTACAATGGCACTGCGAATATAGCGAAAAAATATTCACTCATCTACATTTTGTCGACAACTGAAAAAGCTAGGAAAGGTTATTTACGATGCTATTGAACAATATTGCCATATAAAAAATTGGTTAAGAGTCGGAAAAATGTTAAACTTCCTCCAAATATAGGTAACGTTGTAATAATCAAAAAAAAAAATATATATATATATATATATATATTTGACAGATTTATTTCTGACAGAACAATTCCCAATTTCAGCTCTAATCATGGTACAAGGTACAATAACAAGAGGTAAGCTGTAGCCTAGTGTAACGTCTTACTATGTCATATTTTGTTTTGAGTTTTGATTTTGTCAAAACAGGGCACAAAGTATTTAGGTATTGTTTTTATTGAGTCTTCTTCTTTTCGATTACTTCTATATGTATGTACTTAACAACGTTACCTAAAATTCAACGAAGCGTACAAAAATATTCAACTTCACACTATGGCAAAATGTTTTGTACGGCCGTATTACCTAAATACGTCGAATCCATTTCTCTTAGCGAACTAAACCAAATCGCGAAATCAAATTATAAAATTATAAAATGTGTTCAAATATTTCATATTCTTATTGGAAAAAATTATATTTCTTTATGTTTTGTTTCTTTTTTCAACAAAAGAAAAAATGTACGTTCTGTCCATGGTAAAATTATTACAAGGTAGGGCACAGCTACCAACTGATTACAATTTTTTTCAAGGTGTCTTATTCAATCAAATCAAAATACATATTTTGTGTATGTGTGTGTATTGTTTTGAATACAATGTCAAATAAATTCAAATTAAATTGAAATATATTCAAATTTAATTGAAATGAAAATTATGTTTTTAACATGTTCGTCTGGAAGTAATTACTTTGTTATGGATGAAACAAACATTTGATGGTATTCCCTACTGGATTTTGGGAAGAAATCATAACCTTTCATTCATTTTTCGCGTTTTTATTTTTGTGTTGAAAAAATGTGAAATAAACACAAACATTTGTTGCGTATATTTATTTTATTTTTGGCAGAAGAGGCCACACGTGCATTTTTATTTGTTATTCACCTCAAGCTGCCCTACCTTGTATTATTGTACCATGGTTCTGTCATAGTTGATTTTTTTTAACTTTGAAAATTCGTACGTCGACGTATTTCGGTAACATTCATATAAATACATGTGTTCTATTTTGTGGTTAAAAACGTCGAACGAGCTAGTTGATTTTTAGGTAAGGCTGTAATAAATAACAAACGTAAGTTAAAAAATATAAGCGTTTTTTTTTTCTAAAACACAATGAACGATGAAAAGCTACATGCTAAAATGATATGAATAGTGTAAAATAATAAAATAATTTATATGCATGGTGCGCAAAATTCGTTCGCGAATGATTAATCATTTTATCATGGGATCATTTTACGAATGAATTTATCGCAATAAATTCTTTACCAAACGAATGTTCGCACGCACATAACAAATAAGTGAGAAAAACACGACAACGATCATTCTTTTCGTTTGGTGGTTGAAATTCTTTCTGACATTCTCACAAGTGAATACAAACATTCGCGAATTCTCGCAAATGTTCAAAACAGCAACAAGAATAAAAACAAACGTTCGTGAACTCAATAGTTGTTGGATTTGTGTTTTGTTATTTCACACATGCTCAACACTTTCTGCTATACACACATTCATTCGCTGTGTGTGTTTACTTTTTTATGATATTTTTGATTGTTTTTTCAAAAGAAATGCTCGCGGAAGAACAAATCGGCGACGCGAAATTTTATCGTTCGTCAATTTTTCGTACAATGAGAACATTCGCGAGAGATTTCAAATGCTTGTTCATTCATTGTAACTTTATCATTCGCGAAAAATTGAAAACATTTAGAATTATGATCCAATAAACAGGTCGTGCCTTGTGTAGACGCATGAAGCAAGTTCAAAAGAGAACGATAAAAATTGCCGGAAGTAAACTCGCCTAATCTAAATCAGGACTTATTGAACTATGATAGCAAGTTATAAATTAAAATTTGTTCATATTGTGGCTTGTTATGTCAAAGTCGTATACAAAATGTGTAAATCAAGGCCTATATAAGGTCGGGCATCAAGCACAGCTAAGTATAAAGCATGGCACAATGAATAGGTAGTCCATTTAGCACAGCTGATGTCTTGATTAACTGTCAAAGTGGATAATTTCTACTTAAATCCATGGTGCAATAATAAGGTGATGTATCAAAAGAAAAACCATTGTTTTTGACTCGATTATCTGTCAAATTTTTGCATATAATGTTTCACATGGTTGGCAACACTGCACATCGAATTCAAGTAGAAATTACACACTTTGACAGTTAATCAAGACATCAGCTGCGCTAAATGGACCACCTATTCATTGTGCCATGCTTAAATCGATGTGCAGTGTTGCCAACCATTTCAAATTATATATGGAAAAATTTGACAGATAATCGAGACAAAAACAAAGGTTTTTGTTTTGCTACATCACCTTATTATTGCATCATTGCGAATTCTCGCAAATGTTCAAAACAGCAACAAGAATAAAAACAAACGTTCGTGAACTCAATAGTTGTTGGATTTGTGTTTTGTTATTTCACACATGCTCAACACTTTCTGCTATACACACATTCATTCGCTGTGTGTGTGTTTACTTTTTTATGATATTTTTGTTTGTTTTTTCAAAAGAAATGCTCGCGAAAGAACAAATCGGCGACGCGAAATTTTATCGTTCGTCAATTTTTCGTACAATGAGAACATTCGCGAGAGATTTCAAATGCTTGTTCATTCATTGTAACTTTATCATTCGCGAAAAATTGAAAACATTCGAATTATGATCCAAAAAACAGGTCGTGCCTTGTGTAGACGCATGAAGCAAGTTCAAAAGAGAACGATAAAAATTGCCGGAAGTAAACTCGCCTAATCTAAATCAGGACTTATTGAACTATGATAGCAAGTTATAAATTAAAATTTGTTCATATTGTGGCTTGTTATGTCAAAGTCGTATACAAAATGTGTAAATCAAGGCCTATATAAGGTCGGGCATCAAGCACAGCTAAGTATAAAGCATGGCACAATGAATAGGTAGTCCATTTAGCGCAGCTGATGTCTTGATTAACTGTCAAAGTGGGTAATTTCTACTTAAATCCATGGTGCAATAATAAGGTGATGTATCAAAAGAAAAACCATTGTTTTTGACTCGATTATCTGTCAAATTTTTGCATATAATGTTTCACATGGTTGGCAACACTGCACATCGAATTCAAGTAGAAATTACACACTTTGACAGTTAATCAAGACATCAGCTGCGCTAAATGGACCACCTATTCATTGTGCCATGCTTAAATCGATGTGCAGTGTTGCCAACCATTTCAAATTATATATGGAAAAATTTGACAGATAATCGAGACAAAAACAAAGGTTTTTGTTTTGCTACATCACCTTATTATTGCATCATTGTATAGAGCATTATAAAGTCTGCTTTTCCACAGGCTAATTTTTATTTGGCAAATACTGAGTTTGTAGACGAGAGGGGTGCGAGGAAGAAAAACAAAAATTTGCCTGTTCAGAATTTGCCGTACACGCAAATTCTGCT